GGGACTAGAACGCACAGTCTCCTGGTTTCTAGCCTGGCGCCTTCACCTCCAGACCAAACTGGCTCTCATTTGATGAAAAATAGTTTGAGAAACTTCTTCCAAAGGAGAGAATTTTGGGGAAAGGATCATGGATGGAGTGGGATGCTCTTGCACTTACTCAGTTACAAGGTGGCCAAAGGGGGTGAGAAACTTCTTACAAGCACACTTATCTCTCCATTTGCCTACACTGTCTTGATGCCCCCCCAACATCACTGCTATATTTTCAGGAGGCATGCTCCTGTCACTAAAAAGGAGGAATCCTGGCCTTAAGAAATGTTGTAGAATTTCTATTTCCAGATAAATTATTTAGCCAGTTTCTCTAGCAAGAAAAAATTAGGAGAGAATTCTGAAAAACCATTAATATCTAACTCCATTCTTAATGTGAAGGTACTTTGATGGAGTTCAGTTGCACCAGTTTGGTAGGACTGTGAACACTTCAGGAAGTGTCTTGGCTCTTGAACAAGTGTGAACAGACCACCTCTCTACTATTAATGAGAGAGGCCATGTCATTTTTTAAGCTGCCACTTGGGCCTGGAAAGATATTGCTGCTTTAAGAATCACTTTAATGTGTCAACTCCTTTAAAGCCACTGCACCAGCTTCAGGCTCAGGATAAAAACAACATGGCTGATTAATTATCATCAGAGAGATTCTGTGCTTGGATAAAGGCTGAATGAATGAAACCATTTTGAAGCATACACAGCCCTAATGGTTATTGTTTCTTTAACTCCTCCCCCATCAATTCAAGAAAGCTAAAGATGAAGCAAAGAGCCAGTTTGGTGTAGTGGTTAAGGCACCAGGCTAGAAACTGGGAGACCATCAGTTCTAGCCCTGCCTTAGAAACCAGCTGGGAGACCTTGGCCTAGTCACTCTCTCTCAGCCCTAGGAAGAAGGCAAGGACAAACAACTTCCAAAAATGTTGCCAAGAAAACTGCAGGGACTTACTCCTTCAGTTACCAGGAA